CCCCCCCCCCCCCCCATGTGCAACTCTAACTTCAAACCATCTTTAATCATATTGTATGTTTTGATATATGCAAATTAGGGTATTGCAGTGATAAAAGTGGGAATGACAGGAACAAGATTTAGATCGCCACCAGTGATTGGAGTGTTGGGATTCACTTCAGCCATGCTGAATTCTATTTCTGCAAATATATATACCATTGTTATTGTAACTCCACAAGTTCTTTAGGAATTGACTTGAATGTCATTGCTTTATTATGATACATTTCACAATGTACTTGATTTATTTGAAAATATCCAACATATGGTACCTGATGTCATAGTAACAGTCACTGTGAAAATGAAGACAATTTACACTCTCAATATTGTTTAAATATTGTTAGCAATATACATTGAAAATCCTGAAAAATGTAAAACTGTAGCGATGTGACAACTCAACCATGAGTCATGGTTCCACCAGCATTTAGACTGTCATATTGCATGTCATGATTGTCAACAGTTTTCAACCACGAATATCTTTCTGTTTTTTACTGTAACTTGCTCACTTGTAAATAAAGTTTTTACTCAGGAAATCCATCTGTGCAGATTGACAGACATGAATTTTTACTTCTTTCTTTCCAGCATGCTGGCATAGATAATCAACGGTCCAAGTGTTGGTACATGTTCCAATATCCAATCCTCTCAGTACCACTGGCACTCTCTGAAAAGTACATATTAGATGAATGACAAAAGTATAAGTAATTGAATTATATAATCCCAATCAGTTAGCAAGTTTATGAAGTGTATAAAGCTTTGACAATGAAGAGTCATATGTCAGAGTGGAAAGGCATTCATGAAAACACATGTCAGCCATTTTGAATATGATCTGAAAAACAAAATGATGTGACGAGTTTTAGCACAAAAATGACTGAGTTTAAACAAAATCATGCAAGCATAGAAACAGCTGGAATAAGATCAGATCATTTTTCAAACATTTTTCAGTACATAAGCATCTCTCAATATATTGTACGCCTATCAACTTCAATATGCACATAACCTTATGTTTGATACAAAGTTTGAATGAAATGGTTCACACTTGACAGCAATTTCAGAATCTTAGACAAAATGTCCGTTCAAATCTTATCTTCATACAATGTTGGAATCAAATCGCCCTGTTCATCTCTGAGAAACGATTCCAGACATGTTTAGAGACTGATTTTTGAATTTTAAATAAAATGACCATCAGTTTGAAATCTGAAGAAATCACAAAATAACACATTCTACGGTGTCACATACAAATGTAGTACTTGTGTGCAAACTTTCAACTGAATAAGATGATATATTACTGAGAAATCGGCATAGACATAAATAAAAACAAAATGGACACCTATTGGCCTTTTCTGTTCCAATTTCACAACAAGCAGCCTGTTGGCTGAGATAGCTCTGCTGTTAGCAAGGCACATTTCAATTAAAGAACTGAAGATATTATAAAATGAACAATATGTATAGTATCAAAGCAATCAGACTTTCTGTTTTCAACAAGAATTTGAAAATATCACTTTTTACCAAAAATTACAAAAATATTCATCAAAATTAGAAAATTAAAGATATCACAAAATGAACAAATCTGAGAGAGGTCCACATGTAGTAGTAGCTATAAATGTAATATCAAAGCAATTGGGTTTTTGGTTTTTAAAAAGAAGTCGAAAATATCACTTTTTACCAAAAATTACAAAAATATTCACCAAAAATATAGAATTTGAGATTTTGACATGAAATGAACAAAACTGAGAACCATCCAAGGTACTTGCATATCAAATTTGAAAACATTCTGACTTGCGGTTTTGAGGAAGAAGTTGAAATTGTGAAGTTGACGACGATATGAACTGCTCCGCTGTGTCGACTTTGTCATGCATATGACATGCACCTACAGCCCAATATGACAAAGCATCCTCATGAAAAATTTGAATGAAATCACCTGGTTTATTGTTTCAGAAATGTTTAATTATCAGAATTTAGCAAATTCAAGGACCAAAATCGCTGTCAATCAAAATTTTTGTGTATTAGTGTAATGTGTAAGTCATCATACATGGTCATTGCATCAAATTTCAAACTAGATTCCAATCTGTTTTCATTTTGAATTAGACGTCGATGTGCATATGTAAAATGTTATTACAGTAGGATGAAATGGGGACAAGAAATGGAGGTGCAGGAGTTGTATATATATTTGACACCATTTCTCAGACATCTGTATAGATGCACAAATAGACAGACAGACCCAAATTAATAGTCTCTGAATTCACACTTTATCTGAAACAGAGACGAGTTCTTGCTACTACATGTATAACAACCTATATATCGTCTGAAAGGAAAATACAATAGTGCATATATTTGACAGCTATTGAATAAACTGTTTTTTAAGAAATCCATAACACTGTATAAATGCCATTTCTGGTGACCTAGATGTCAAGTTCGTTGACATAAATGTCAAATCCGTTGACATAAATCTCATGCCAGGTGAACTAAATGTCATGTCCGGTGAACTAAATGTCATGTCCGGTGAACTAAATGTCATGTCCGGTGAACTAAATGTCATTTCGGTGAACTAAATGTCATGTCCAGTGAACTAAATGTCATGTCAGATGAACTAAATGTCATGTCAGATGAACTAAATGTCATGTCTGGTGAACTAAATGTCATGTCCAGTGAACTAAATGTCATGTCCCGTGAACTAAATGTCATTCCAGTGAACTAAATGTCATGTCCAGTGAACTAAATGTCATTCCAGTGAACTAAATGTCATTCCAATGAACTAAATGTCATGTCCGGTGAACTAAATGTCATGTCCGGTGAACTAAATGTCATGTCCAGGGAACTAAATGTCATGTCAGATGAACTAAATGTCATGTCTGGTGAACTAAATGTCATGTCTGGTGAACTAAATGTCATTCCAGTGAACTAAATGTCATTCCAGTGAACTAAATGTCATTCCAGTGAACTAAATGTCATGTCCAGTGAACTAAATGTCATGTCCGGTGAACTAAATGTCATGTCCAGTGAACTAAATGTCATGTCTGGTGAACTAAATGTCATGTCTGGTGAACTAAATGTCATGTCCGGTGAACTAAATGTCATGTCCGGTGAACTAAATGTCATGTCCGGTGAACTAAATGTCATGTCCAGTGAACTAAATGTCATGTCCAGGGAAGTAAATGTCATTCCAGTGAACTAAATGTCGTGTCTGGTGAACTAAATGTCATGTCCAGTGAACTAAATGTCATGTCTGGTGAACTAAATGTCATTTCGGTGAACTAAATGTCATGTCTGGTGAACTAAATGTCATTCCGGTGAACTAAATGTCATTTCGGTGAACTAAATGTCATGTCTGGTGAACTAAATGTCATGTCCGGTGAACTAAATGTCATGTCTGGTGAACTAAATGTCATGTCAGATGAACTAAATGTCATGTCAGATGAACTAAATGTCATGTCTGGTGAACTAAATGTCATGTCCAGTGAACTAAATGTCATGTCAGATGAACTAAATGTCATGTCAGATGAACTAAATGTCATGTCTGGTGAACTAAATGTCATGTCCGGTGAACTAAATGTCATGTCTGGTGAACTAAATGTCATGTCTGGTGAACTAAATGTCATGTCTGGTGAACTAAATGTCATTTCGGTGAACTAAATGTCATGTCTGGTGAACTAAATGTCATGTCCGGTGAACTAAATGTCATGTCCAGTGAACTAAATGTCATGTCAGGTGAACTAAATGTCATGTCTGGTGAACTAAATGTCATGTCTGGTGAACTAAATGTCATGTCAAATAATTGAGAATGAGAAGCGGGATACATTGATAACAAAATGTCTGAAAAGGGATAAGGGTCTGGGGGTGCTGGCAGCATACTCCTTGGGTAAATATATTTACACCCCCATTCATCTGTGTCATGATCATCTTGACCCCATTTCATACTGTAATAACAGTTTACATACAAATGTATATGCACACCCACTATAATTCAAAATATAAAAAACTTTGAATCCAGCTTGCCATTCCTGGATAGTAAAAAATGAAGAAAAGAAAATATCTTACCAGGGGATACACATTATTGAGAAAATCCTCCTTTGTTATGTTATTATAAATTTGTATCTGCACCTTGTTAGTGGAATCACCTGCCATCACTATTAACAGTATATCTACAGAAAAAGAAGCTAGATTTGTAAACAATACATTCTAAGGGATCATAATACCCTCCATTATGCTCAAAATAAAATTGACAGGAAAAGGAAGGCAGGATATCTTTGTGTATCACCACTGTGTGACACGAGACTAGGCAGATCAAAAACCGATATTACCACAGTGTGACGTCACACACTGTCAAACTTTTTTTTATTGTATGCAATGTTTGGAGATTCCCTAGTTATTTACAGACTGATAACTAAAGATTTTGGTAACAATTATTCATTTTGGCAAGCTCACGAGTGTATCTTCAATATTGTTATTCAGTCACTCAAAAAAGGTTTAAATTTTAAAAAAATACTACCGGTAATAAATTTGAGCAAATATGAGAAACGTGCAGAATCACCATACAGTGTACACAAGACGCCCGCACAAAATATAACACTGTGGCAACTAAAAAATTATCATACAAGGTGCACGCAATGATATATTTGTATTCAGTGTCATTTCAGCAATAGTTCCATGGATCAACACTCCTCCGTTTTACTATGCCGCACTGCGGAAATATATGAATGTAATTAATATAAAATCCAACGATATTTTCTCTTAGGTTGGCGTCAGCAGACACTTGTGATTACAGCCAGCATAGCATCAATCCGCACCTGGGGCTCAGAGATTGATACAAAACTCTTGGCAGTAATCACTCATGTCTACAGTCGTCAACCTAAGCGAAAATATTGCGAGATTACATAATAATACATCATAATTTGTTATAGCTAAAAGACATCATCATAATACCCCAGTATATTCATTTTATGTTTTACCTTGTTCTGAGTGTGATGTTTTATATATCTGCAAAGTTGTAATAAATAAATAAATAATATTTGGCCAATATTCTCTAATACAGTACATTAGCTGGCACACAAAATAATACTGTTTCATGCTACCATGGAAGTGTACCATTTTTTTTAATGAAGGCATAGATATGTTTTATTGTAAAATATTTATAAATAATTTCAATTGGTGATTGTGAACAGCTTGACGAATGAAAAGCCTTAATTAGCGGATGAATACTGGCGGATGTATACAACTCAACTGTAGTCTTTTTACCTTCAACTTTTTCACCACCAGACTTTTTTCTTATATTCTTCAATATTTCCGGAAATGTACCCTAATTTTGGCACCAACAGACGACATTTGAGTAAATTTTCAGTTTTTACTCAAAAAATTTAACCCAATCTTCTGAAGGAAAGTGTAGACTATAAATTTTGTGAATTTGTGAGGAAAAGAGGGAACTGGTGGTGAATAGGTGACTTGTCTTGTTTTTGAATTCATTTAAATTTATTGCAGCAAGTAATTCAGTTGATAATGTTTATAATAATATTAAATTAATGTTTATTCAACCTTTATATCGGCATCATGAAAACAGTAATACATATCTTTAAATTACATTCATTATTTCTTTTCTATATTGCCATAAATCAGTTACATATTTCCTAATTAAAGCTGATGAGGTATTTCCCACATTTTCATTTATGTTCTATAGTGTATCACCAAAAAGGAAATTCAACCCCCCTGAATGAAAACTATTCATTAGTGTTGAAGATTCAACATTGTTTCTCAGCGAGATTTCTAATGTTAAATAAAACTTATTTTTCTTGTATGATAAATTGACATACAAAGATAAAGAAAGTGGTAAATGTCTTCTGTGCCCTGATTGCAGACTCTGCAAATTCCATTACCCGTGTAATTTTTTTTTTCCATCCCATTTTGAGTTTGACCTAATTTTACCCTATTTGACCTGTTTCTCACATCAATTCAGGAGCTAATGGCCATTTCACCGCTCTAAATTACACACATCACAGATCATGACAGTATACTTTCGGCCTTGAATTATATAAAACTATTTTACCATAAGTCGTACCAACCAGCACTTGTTCGATGTATGGATACACTGTATCTCTAGAGGCACTTTGCGAGTCGCCAAAAGTCGAATGAAGGCATTCTGCGAGTTGAGTCAAGTCAAGTTTTCCTACTAGTCGATGGTGGTATATAAACAGTACGCGCAAACTGAAAAATGTGCATCCCCAAAGGCGGGCCGGATAGGGAAGTCAGTAGAAGACAAGATTTTTTCGTTAGCATGGGGGAAAGTCGGTCAGCGTCGGGGAAAACAAAGATGTTAATCCGAAAATTCATTGTCTATTCTTGTTTATGATTGGTCCAGGCAACGTTTGAGGATAGTGACGTAGCTCCGTCCTTGAGACCGGTGTCACGACCTTCGTTCAGCGTTCAAAGCGAGAAAAATACAGCCATGACATCAAAGAATAACGCCAGTGTTTATTCGCCAACATTAGAGTTTGGTAGAATTTTAATCATTCTTAGAATTACGAAAGGGTACTTCAACGAAGACGTCGGCCTCTGAAATTTACAAAATCAAGGTCGCACGGCAAGTGCCGTCATAAACTTGCAATGACCTGAAAATTACTCAAGCTAAAAACCCAAAACATCATACCGATCCACAGGCGACCGATCGTGTTACAACGCTTGTACGGCTTTCACGATGGCGATTATTTTTTGGTGTACATGTATTAGAATATCCATATAAACCATGAAGTTTACCTCAATGTATAATCTGACATATTTACGTGGTTCACCATCGCACGGTTTCGCTAAAACCGGCCATTCATAACCAGGCCACGAACATGTGCGTGACCGTGTTAGGAAAAGCTGTATTTCAATGCAGCTAAATTGAGTCATTTGATTGGGCGCGCCAAGGAGCTGGCGCCACTAATCAGACCAATCAGAGTTGCTGTATCATAAATGTTAAGATCGGGGAGCTCCTCACATGGCGGCGTGTCGCCTTTGCGCAATCTCCTTCCCATATGTCTTTGCGCTTTACGCAATAGTACCTCTGTCAATTTTGTGGTCTATCACCTCACTACACAAGGCCATTTTCCCGCGGTTGTTTCATGTGAAACCGAACTAAAAAAAGAGGAAAAAAACGTATGTGACATCCGAACTATTTATTAATAATAATAATAATAATAATAATAATAATAATAATAATAATAATAATAATAACTTTATTACACTACTATTCCATCAGAGGGCACAGTATGGTAAATAAAATACAAATCATAAGAAAAAAATATAGTAGCTAAACTATAAAATAAAATAAAAATTAAAAGATGTTAAAAACAAATTAATGATAGTTACAGGATGCTCCCAACGTAGAGATGATAGCTATCATATACCTGATTTCTGTTTTACCCCTATTTTGCCAGGGGTATGAAGCACGTCATTATTTTAATGAAATTGTCTGTTTTATTTAGTTTATTTTTAATTCCTGTTTCTTGAAACAGCTCCCCTCTTTCTTTGTCGAGAAATTCACAATCTAGGATAAAATGTTGTTCGTCCTCAACTGAATTTGTATGACATTTTTTACATTAATGTCAAATGTTCAGTAAAAACGTAAATACGAACCATTTTATCGCGGACTATGTTTTGCAAGGTATTGTTATTGTTACAGTAGTAAAATGGCGCACATAATACACTAAAACTGAGGGAATAACGTTATGTTAACGTATATAGTTGGACTAATTTCACTGAAAGAGGTTTCAGAACTATTTCTGGCTTGAACGGGTTATAGAACACAGAACACAAAAGATCTAGTAAGTTTATAAAGTCAGTCATTTATTGTACAATCTAATGCTTTGACATCTAGGAAGGGATTGCTATTTTCTAACTCAAATCATATATATTTTAAGGTAGAGATGTAGGTTTTGAAGACATTATTTTTGATTGGCTCTAATTACTATAATTACACGAGTAAAATATAACTTTTACCCATCAAGTTATATATCATTTGAAAGAGTGTTATTTAAACTTTCCAATTGCATGGTTTACAATAATGTAATATGATACCATATTAAGTGTGGGTTTGGGGTAAAATCATGCATTTTAGGTGAAAGTGCACTTAAAACTATTTAACCTTTGAATATCTCGTTGCCGATTTTTATGTAATTTCCAGGGTACTTTTTTTATTTTTAATTAACCGACAATTTTACGTTTGTGTATTTTGACACTGAAAAGTTAGTTATCGATGACAGCAACAGCAGTGTTGTTTGTCAATTGCATCACAATTCTATCAGCACGATAATCGTTACATCGAAACGAAACATGCTCAGTGTTAAAATGCCTTTAGAGTAAAAATGTGTGGAAACATTTTTTTAGTTTCGCCCACAATGTGAAAAACCTTGAAATCTATGCACCAAGAAAACAAAAGAAATTGTGGCCTTGTTTTGCACGAAAATTAAATTGCCCTATCGGGGCTTCCTCCTACATGAAAATAAATAAAAAATCAAAGTATTTAAAGCGGGAGGGTCGTCACCTGCGCACGCGCGGGAATTGAGTCCCAAGCGACGATAACAACACGCGCTAAACACGCAAAGGCTCATGGGTAGACGCTTGTTTGTAAACAATGACACGCTATGGCCAACTGACGCATGCGTAGGTGACGACTCCCCTGCTTTAAAGGTGAAAAAGTTTACTTATCATTTACAACTGCATGTTTTGTTTCATTCCGCTTGCATGCTGGAAGCGTCTACGTCTTGTCTGTTTTTGTTTTTTTTTGTTTGTTTTTTTCAGCAGTATGCTAGTTGATCGCGCTTGGGGTAAGCACAGTCCCTCAACACCGGACTGTGGGGTAAGTAAACAGGGAGCCAGGACAGGAAGTCACACACCGCTGCTCCCTAACTGAGGCCAGCAACTCATTTGCATATAACATCAACAGTGACTTGTCAATCAAAAAGCAACGCAAACAAACTTTTGGGCCTCGGTTCCCTATATTTTAAAATCGTTTTTTGAGTATGTTCCAACATTGACAAAGCTCCGAAATGTTAACACTATCTAGCCACGACTGTCTGGGTAAAAAAAAGCAAAACAAATATTTTCACTCTGAGTGCACACGAACCTGCAGTCGTCACGCCGTGTCCTGTTCGATATGGGACTCATAGCGACGTATACAACGCGTGTAAAATACATTGTTTATTTACATGAAATTCGAACACGCGCTGCGCGACGACTACCGCGCTTTAATCTAATTACTAGTAACTGAACATTTTATTCGGAGTCAGGGCGTGAAACGTCTTATTAAAGTGATTAAAGTAACCGAGTGACTTACGCATAACTTTGTTAACCCACAGGGTCTTGTAGTTCGAATATATTTGAATATGCAATGAGTTCTATGCAAAGCTGCTTTGTGCAGTGATGTTAAAGGGCGGCAGTCGTTGCGCCGCGTCCTGTTCGATATGGGACTCATAGCGACGTATACAACGCGTGTAAAATACATTGTTTATTTACATGAAATTCAAACACGCGCCGCGCGACGACCACCGCGCTTTAATTAACGCAGAGTTCGGGCTTTGCGCCGATTCACCCGGAGTCGAGAACAGTAAGTCTATATTCGTTGACGCGTTTCCAAAATGTCTTATTTCAACGTTGAAAATTGTTTGTGGGCAAGTGAATGAGGACGATGGAATGTCTAAATATTTGTGCAAACTGTGTTTTAGTAAACTAACAAAACTGTCGAAACTGATAACATATCGACTTGCTCGATCCGGTCTTCGTTGCAACACAGTCAAGGGACATTTTCCTCAGATACAGAACTAAGCGCTTTCTTTTGATGATCAGTAAGTTAGACAAAAGCTAGCAACGCGTGGTGAAATTTGAGGCTTCGGCCGAAGATATGGTCCTTCGCTGGCGAAGATGGTGGTTCACGCAAGCACGCTGTTCACCTCGACATACTTTACGAATTACTGTAGGAACATTCAATTTCGCGTGTTTTTATTTCGCGGTTTTGGGCTATCCAAGCCTTTCGCGGTGGTTTAAATTTCGCGGATTGTCGAAAAATAAAACAAAAGCTGAGGGTCACACCACATGAAGCAGTCAGTCAATGTCTTGTTGTTTTCCGACACGTGCAACCTCCAACCTCAAAATATTAGTTGTCTGAGCTCCAACTGAACCGTTTTTTTTTTTTTTTTTTTTTGCACACGATAAAAATGTCCATTCCCCCTATAGAGCTAATGTGATATAACCACGGACTATGTTGATTGGTAAGACAAAGGTTTGAAAAGAATTTTAACACATTGTAACATCAAAAGTAAACTTCTCGAGTGTGGCTTATCCTGTGTTAGTACGTCCATGATATAATCATAGAAGTTATAATATATAACTAACACCGTTTTTGCCGTTTTGGCCATACCAATCGATCCGTGCTTCATCAAAAACAAATTTCGCCTGATGACAAAAAACACTCAGTATGCATTTATTTTTTTAATTTTATTGCTAACGAAAGTATTTTCTAAAAGAATCAGGGTAGCGCAATCCGATCATGTGACGTTTCACAATTGTTGATTATTACTCAGTAGTGATTATAATAACGTACACAAAATATTTTCTTTTTGAATTGTTATGAAATGTCATTATTTTACGGGTACCCCAAAAGCGTATCTAGGGGCGAGTTGTGCGGGAACACGGAAGCCACGCAAATATAGTCGGGTGTACTGTCAATTTTATCACTATGAAGTAAGCCAAGGACCAAAAAAATGCAGTTTTGAAAACTGACATCGTTCGTATTTTTGAGTGCATCGAAATAAAACAAACAATAAGTTGTACGCTGCTTATTTTAACTGTCGAGCTAAAATTAATTTCCACTGACAATGTTTAATCATGAAAGTAAATAAACGGCATTTATGGGACAGACTATATCTGAAAAATTGGCGCCCAATTTCATCATGAATGTTGACATGAAACTTGCTTCCAAAATGTCTGGCAAATCGTCTTGAAAAGGTTCTCACGGAACTGGTAGACCTAACACAGGCTGCCTTTGTTAAAGACCGTAGTATTCATGATTATGTCAGACTAATAAGACGAAATTTTCCAATTTACCAAAGAAACTGATATAAAAGCTTTACTATTGTCCATCGATTTTGAGAAGGCTTTTGATATGGTCAGTTGGCATTTTTGTTCAAGGTTTTAAATAAACTTAAATTTGGGCATAATTTTCAAACATGGATCAAAACATTTTATAATAACATCAGGGCTGTGTAATGAATAATGGTTTTAGCACTGGATATTTTAAACCAATGCTATTTGGTTTAATCTTAGAAATGCTATTAATAGCAATCACAGAAATATTTCAGGCATTACTGTTTTGGGGACAGAAATCAAAGTGGCTGCATTTGCAGACGATATGACATGTTTTATGTCAGACACTGAATCTGTAAGGATGCTGTTTTCGTTGCTTGAATTATTTCGTGGGTACTCAGGATTAAAAGTAAACAGCAAAAAAACTGAGGGAGCATGGCTAGGAAAGTGGAGAAGCAGGAAAGATGTGATGTTCGGGGTTAAATGGCCCACCTCGCCGATCAAGATTGTGGGTGTATACTTCTCATACAATAATTACAGGCAAAACATAAACAAGTCAATCAATAACATGAAAATTATACTAAATCAATGGAAAAGACGTAATTTTTATCCTTATTTGGCAAAGTACAAGTAATAAAGACTTTTGATATGTCACAATTTACATATATTTTTTAACTCAATGAGGATTAAAAAGCAGACAATCCAGGAAGTTCATAACATAATTTACATATATTTATGTTATGGAATTGACAAAATTGCAAGGAATTCAATGGTCAGTGGGGTGGGCCAGGAAGGCCTAAGTGTGCCTAACGTGTATAT